TTATTTTTTTTTTTTCTTTTCCCCCCCCTCTTTTTTTTTCCCCCCTTAAAAACCCTTTTTTTTTTTTTTTTTTTTTTTAAATCGCCATTATTATTCTTTTAAGGATGCTATGCTAATTGCTATTCTATGGTGGCCTCAAAGGTTTATTTTCCACAGCTTGTGGATTACTGTTCAATCCATCATAAAATGAAAAGAGTGTGGCAAAAATGCCATCCAGGTCATTACCGTCGACCTTTACTGACAAGGCGTTCAAGGAAAGCGTTAATTAGAGAAGCGAACAGGAGCATTTCAGGGTGAGAGAATGTGTTAACAGGATATTTTTGGAAAATGGCAAAACGTGCAGCCACAAAGGGAGCAGCAGACAAACAAGGCGCCCTGGTTAGGCAAGACTGAAACATTCAAAACTTTGTGTTGGAAAAACTACTGCACACACAGTGAAAGATGGTGGTGGCGGCGTCATGCTGTGGGGATGCTCTTGAGCAGAGATACTGTTGGTGGGGATGGAGTGGTGGAAGGGTTTAGATTGACAAAATGTGTGTTCAGAAAAAATAAATCATTTCAATCTGAGCACGAAATATCTCTGAGAAGAATTAAAAGGTAAAACGTTTTTAAGCCGAGCCCGTATGTCCTTTTCCTCCCACTTCAAAATTCTGCACAGGGTTGATTCATTACATGAAATCCCAATAGTCTACTTTGAGTTTTATGGTCTTGACAGGTAAAATTTGTAGATGTTCAGAGAGTGAGCATTTCTTTAGTGGCACCAAATGTTAGAAGACACCAGTCTTTCTGGTTAAACACTTCCTCCTACCAACACCACTTCTTCAGAGACGGTTTGAGGAAGATAAAACTAAAAACAAAGTAGAAGCTTTAAGACTCTTAATAAAATACTCGTAGGATCAAATTTAAATAAAAACCTAAGCTGTTCCAGAGATATTGCCCTGTTTTTTTTTTTTTTAAAAAGAGTGAGGTCAGCAGGAATTAACTCCCCGGCCAAGAATTAAAATACGAAGGAAGTGGTTGAGCTTAAAATGAGTGATTCGCTTCCTGTAGTCATAAAACTCTATATTATAGCTCCTGGCGGCATGGAGTAACTTTCCCTTAAATCATTTTTCTCATGGCGCCTTTGAATAAAGAGTGTCCCAACATCCAGACTTCTTCATACCCAACCAGCCAGAGTTCATTTTATTAATAAAAAATTTGCTTTAGAGGAAACTGTCAAGACAAAGAGCTCCCAACCTCAGTCTGACATCACTACCTTACAGCACACAGAGATGATCGAGCTTCAAGGTCAGAAGGCGGCCAGTAATTCTGATAACACTGTGAGAAGACAGAAACCGATAGTAACCAGACATTTGTTTTCCCACGTTCAGGTGAGCACTCAGCACCCTGACCTCGCACCCCAACAGGATGAATTTAGTCAGTCGCCAAGCACAGCTGCTCCCTGTCCCACTAACATCTGGGCCACGTGACTTTCACCCGAGAACTGCTAAAAAGAATGTGAAATGATTTTAATCAGTCGGGGATCCGTCACTAAGTGCAGAACAGATTTGTCTTCATTGAAAGCCCTTCTCCATCCATCATTAATACTTTTAAGTATTAAGAGTTTCAAATTCAATCAAATAAACCAAGCAATAAACTCCATCCCAATGAAGTCGTGAACAACAGAACAACAACTACAAAAAAAAAGAGAAATGACAAACCATGATGAGGTTCATCAGATAGGATAAATGCATTTCATCAAGCTCAGTTATGTGCTGTGTGACAGACAGGCAAGAAGGACGAGAGATGGTAGTGACAAGGACAAACACACATACACTCTTCAAAAGCAACCTCTAGAAATCCTGTTAGAAAGTAATAAATAAAAACAATCATTCTGGGGGAAAACTCAAAACGCTCACCTCCTTCTCTCCCCCTTTGTCTTCTTTCCTCTCAGCAGCACAGCAGACATGCAGTGGAGTAGATGGCACTCCTCATCCCAGAGCTGTGACGGTGTGTGTGAGAGAGAGAGAGAGAGAGAACACCCCACTCTGCCCATTCATAGCTCCACCGACGCAGCACTCACGCACGACTAGACGTGCAAACACACAAACACGCAAACGCCAGGTGTGCCACTGTGTCTGAACACTTTGCACATTAATGTGGTGCCGTTCATTCTCTCCGGCTTAATTACGGCCATAACAATTGCATGCAACGGTCTAAACAAGCATGATAGATGGGATGCATTCCAAAACCACGTGCTGCCACATACTATGAAATATATACACTGCTGACGTCATCCAGGGGGATGAGATCATCCATGAGTCATTCAGTAGGTTTTGTAACTCGCATAATGCCTGCCCATCACAGAAAAATGGCAAACCCCCATCCAGCAACAAGTCTTGGGAAATATAAAGCAGTTCATTGGCTACAAACCTCTCCAAGGATCCAATCGTAACTCTGCAAAGATCGTCATCACTGACGTTACATGAACGAGGAAGTTTTCCTTTATCAGGATAAACCAAAAAAAAAAAATGGATGTATAAAAAGAGTTTGCAGGTATTCACATGTATTGTTGAGCATGACTCATCCAGTCACTCCACTGAGCTCGAGTCGTCTTACAGCACACTGAATGTATAATTTAAACCAAAATCACGAACCATTTCTTTCAGGCAGAAACCGACCTCGGATTTATTGAAAAATAAAACGCCTTTCATAGCAAACAAATTAACAGAGTCGGTTAAAAGTTTTTGCTAGGTAACATAACACTGAATCTGTCACCCTAAAAACACTAATAATCCTGAAATGCAATCAGAGGTTGGCAGGGAACGAGGCATGACCAGCGCTTCACAAAGTGCCTTCACAACAAACCATGCAAAAAAAAAAAACACAGGTCACAAATAAACAAGTGCGCACACCAGAAAACACATATTTCAAGTAATAAAAGCTAATCTTCATAAAATATTTAGAAATCATAAGACACAGACATGCAAGGCACGTTTCAATGGGCTACTCAGAACAGTCCATGCTTCCTCTGCAGATATACACTCATGCTTTAGAGTCAACGTTAAAACACGACTGCAGGTTCAAAGGTGAATTAATCTGTACAGCAACATGTTTCAGGGTGCAATTTCAAGGTTAAACGTTTTATGCGTGTATGGGTGCAGAATAGATTCGTAGCAAACATTCTCCAATGAAGATCTGTAGTGTTTTAAAAATTACACAAATGCTTGCCATAATGTTTTCACTCATCCATCTAGACTTGCCTTCGAAAACCCATTTGATGAAAGGCTGAGGCCAAAGAAAATACTGCCGAGTGTGAGCTTATTCGTTAAAGAAAGTGCATCTGGACCAACAACCATCTGTTTACATAAATCAGATCACATTTCTGTTAGATATTCAATTGGGTTTTAAGACTTTGTCTTTCCACGCAATTCTGCATCAAACTGTTGTTTCCCTCAAGTCTTTAGATTCAGATTTAGGAGCAGCAGAACTTTCCTCAGATTTATTGGCTGGAGCTGGATCCGGAACTGGAGCATCTGAGTTGTCCCCTGACTCTGTTTTGGAGTCGGTAGTGGAAGAGCTGGTTGCACTGGAATCGTCTGTATTCTGTCCCTGGTCTGAAGAAAGCTGCAGGAATGAAGGGATCTCTAGCTGTTCTTTGGTCAGAAGGCCTCGCTGGTCATCTACTCTGCAGCACTGAGCTCTGGTCAGCATGTCCAGAAATCCTGAGGCAAATCAAGACAATCATGTTAATTTTGCAGGTTATTTTCCAGAATCAGTGTTGAGAAATGTGCATCAGAATCATCATTTGGCAAGATGTAAGTGATGTAAGTGGCAAAGCACTCTGCAAAAGTATTCTATTTATAGCTTAGGCGATGGACAAACAGAACATAGTTCAAGATTTTGACTTGGGGGTCAGGGGGTAAAATTAATTCAAAAATATTTTACAAATAAAATTCCAAAGTGTGCTAAATTGTACTTGCTTTCTAATTACAGCTGCAACAGTTTTGAGATGCAACATTACCAACTTTCATGACAAGAGGAGATTTTTTATCTTTTTTTGCTACTCATCACCTCATCCATACAGTAAAAAACTGGTAGAAAAACCAGCAGGAATCATTGATTCCAGAAAAAAGATGGGATGTGCTGCACACCACACCTTTCTTATTTCTAGTTGCACTAGATTTTGACAAAACATAATTTGCCCTCATGCTCTACTTCATGTCGATCAATGTTTTTAGCTGTAATGAGAATTAAAACTTCTGTAATCCACCGTCACGGTTTCTTTTCACTGGATCTCATCTTGACCTGACTTTTATTTATTGATTTAATAAAGACAATAAAAATCACTAGCATAACATGAACTTGTCTATAAATGAGCTCCAGTGATCCAGGTGTGAAATCGTCTAACAGCATGTGGTGTGATACCCAGCTACACCAGACACTGGTGATGTGCCTTACCGTCCATGTCGCGGTTCTTACTGGGTCTGTGCTGCGTCCTGACTATGTCGGTCTGAGTCGACAATTGAGGCTCCAGGCCTCCACTCCCTGCTCCTGGCTGAGGACAAAAGCAGATCCCAGAGACATGATGCACTTTTCACTTATAGAAAATTTTATATCCAAGAAGAATACACGAGCATCACATTTACATCGCTCTAGGTGTAATTTAAAAAAAATAAAAACAACAAATGAACATCTGAACAAGACGTGACCGAGCTTTACAATTAAGGATGTGTTTCCAAGAAAACAGCTTTACAGTCTAGCTAAGTATTATTAAAACAACAACGGCTTTGTGTCCAGTGGACAGATGGACCTGGGATCTTGTCTAGTTTTAATTAACAATGAGGAAGAAGATAAGAGATTGTTTTTTATTTATTATTTTAAAGCTCGCCGTTAGGGAACTGCTGAACAGCATTGTGGGTCTCCAAACAACAGTTTGTGTTGCTTAGAGACAGCTTGACCCATATTTACTGGGATGTTCAATAATTGTGGCGGAAACAAATAGTTTGCTCCATCAATCAGCAGCCATGGTTCCTAAAACTAATCAGACCTTTCACCCACAACAAAGTAATAATCTGCAGTGGAGGACAAAAAGTGATTTAGTCTTCTAATTTACAAATGCATTAAAGCTCTGATAAAATGGTAATAATTACATTAATGTCAGTCTCACCTGTGCATTAGGAGAACTCCCTCCTCTGGGAATAATGGCCTGATCTTTACCTATTTTCAAAGAAAGATAAAAATTTGTAACACCACTTCGACGTAAAATCTCTTTGCTCTCCCTGAACGCAGGGAAAGGAGCTGAAGCACAGACCGCGGCTCTGATGTGATGTTGGAAAATGAGATGAGAAAACTGAAAATGACACACCGTTAAACAAACCAAATTCACTGCGACACATCAAACCCATAGAAAAGAGCAGAGAAAAATCTCAGCAAGTAGTCAGAGTAAAGAGGACAGTAAGTTACTCTACTATGTTAAAAGAGTGAGAGGCATAAAAAACACCAGAGAAATAAAAGAAAAATAAAGTATCACAAGTTAGAGGAAAGAGCATAACATGATGTGTGTTACCAATAGCGTATGGAGAGCAGCGTTTAATAATCACTTTGAAATAAGGTTCCTCGACTACACAGGCTTGTTTTCTTCACTGTTTTTCCGGAAGCTGAGAAGTCTACTGTTTAAATTATTGTAAACAGTCCATTTTGAAGCAAAATGATTGGGTTTTCTAAAAGTAAAGCCCAGCATGTTTACCTTTTGCCTTTTCCAACCTCAGCGTCTTATTGGCTAGTTTGTACACAGAGCAGTTCAGGTTCACAGGCACGTCACTTCCAACCTGAAACAGACAGAAAAAAAGAAAGAGCCTGTTGAACTGAGTCCGACAGTCAGTACTAGCAACCTCAACTGTGGCGCAACATATGCAGTGATAGTAAATTAGAATATCAATGAAAGGTGGAGTCATTGCAGTAACTCAATTCACTAAATAGAAGATACTTAAGAAGATAATTACATTTTGAAACCTTGATTTTTTTTTTTAGTTAGGGTGGTTAAAGATATGACTTTAATCATCCTAACTAAATGGCTGAAGATGCCACATTTAAAATCTGAATATTACACCAGAAAAAATAAGTAAAAATATTTGGAAATGCAGAAATATGGACTTATAAAAATGAACTACTTATAAATTAGTTACAATTCTAAATAAATAATTTATAAAATAAACAATATAACAAATTATTATGAATTAAAACTAGAATATATTTAAAAAATATAATTCACCACTATAACTGCACACCCAATGTGGTCACGAAGGGCAATTTATCACATATTCATACTTTGCAGAGTATGAAATTTTAAGTACCAAATATTGTGGTGTGTTGCAAAGCACTGCTTATATTTCAATGGCAGTTATGACTCAACAAAAGTAAAACTGCAAGTTTAATTAGCATAAGTGTAAATTATGTTCTGACAACTGCAGGGGGAAGTGTGTACTGCTAATTATAGCAGGTATCTATTCATGTCGAAGTTTTTATAACATTTAAAGATAAAAAAAAAATTAATTGAGACTGTTAAGCACAAGTAACCATTCCTAAATAAAAGACTGCTTTATATATATATATTAAGGTGTCAGACATAACCACTTACCATGGTTATCGCTGTCTCTTGCGGCTTTAGATGATGTTTCTGCATCACTGTACAAAGGGCGTCCTGCAGTGTTTTACTGGACTTCACCATGATTCCCACTGTTTTACCAGTAAAGGCATTCTCCAACCTGTGACATGATTGCATTTTCAATAATAGCCCACACAAATCCTACTGAAAACAATGCTGATAGATAAAATGAAAGTCAACACCTAATGACCTCTTCACAAGAAACGGAAATTTGACCTAATTTGGTCATGCGTTTGAAGAAATCTTAACTAGAAGGCAGATGATGTGTCCCAACATCAGGATTTCCCCCAAATATGGTGAGATGTGACATGCTGTAGTGGTGGCATAGTGGGTGTGAAAGTCTGCTAATGGTGACTAAAACGGCAGACAAAAAAAGAACAAAAAGGAAGTGACTAAGATGACTCACGCAAACGTCACCCTGAGCTCAAGAGAGACCTGTTGATCTCTCAGCACGGAGCAGTCCTGGTCCAGCGACAAGGGCTGCCAAAGAGAGAGAGAACAGCACAAGACAGGAAGAAACACCAGTGATTTTTCTTTTCTTTTAACAACAGCATCAGTTTCAACAAAAGGTTTCGGAAACGAAAGGCCGAGATGAGACAGAGGATGTTGGAACAGGAAGAGGTTAATCGTCTCACATGTTACCAAACATGGTTAAAGGCTGGCACTGCAGCTGTTATCTTTATCTGAAACAGCAAGTGCTGCAGCACACAGAGGAGAAGCTCTCACCTTGTCCTTGCCATGAAGGTAAATCATGACATCTTTTAATGGGAAGCCCCTTTTCTCACACAGGCTGGCCAGCATGTCCTTGATGGGCTGCCCATTACGTGTAGGGGCCAGGGAGGCGCTGCCGTCGGGCAGGTAGACACAGCAGTAGCCCCCCTCCATCCCCATACGGCTCACGATGCCAGCAGCCTGATCACGGGAGGTGGGACCCGGCCAGCCGTTCTACGCAACAGATGGGAGAGCAGAAAGAGAATATTTAGACGGATGTCCCAGCTTCTGGTCTACATTTTATTATTGTGTGCGTTTAACCACAATCTTATGTAATTAATCATTTATATGATCTGCAACATTCCCAGAATGCTTGTCACAAATGTACTGACCTCCATCTGTCTGCAGAGGGAGCCAAGCTCCAC